TAAAAAGAAATGAAAGTCTGATACATGCTACAACATGGATGAATGTTGAAAACATTATGTTGAATGAAATAAGCCAGACACAAAAGGGCAAATATTGTATGATTCCCTTATAAGAAGATGGTAGAATAAGCAAAGTCATAGAGACATAAAGTAGAACAGAGTTTACCAGGAGCTGGGGGAAGGAAGAATGGGGAGTTGTTTAATGAGTATGGTTTCTGTTTGAGATGATGAAAAATTCCAGAAATGGATAGTAATGATGGTTGCACAACATTGAGGATGTACCTAATGCCACTGAATTATACTTAAAAATGATTTAAATGGCAAATTTTATATTATGTATATCTTACCACAATTTTTTAAATGAAGGAAATCTGAATAAAATATAGACTTTAGTTAATAATAATGTATCAGTACTGACTCATCAATTGTAACAAATGTACCATACTAACGAAGATGTTAAAAATAGGGAAAAATGGGTATAGAGTATATGGGAACTTTCTGTACTATCCTCTCAATTTGTCTGTAAATCTAAAATTGTTCTAAAAATTAAAGTCTAGGGAATTCCCTGGCGGTCCAGTGGTTAGGACTCTGCGCTTTCGCTGCTGGGGGCCCGGGTTCAATCCCTGGTTGGGGAATTAATATCCCACAAGCTGTGTGCACAGCCAAAAGGAAAAATAAAATAAAATAAAAAACAAAGTCTATTTTTAAAAATTCAAGGGAGATAAAGGTTAACAGCACTAATATTCCCTACCTCCTCCCATAAAAAGACAAGAAAAATGCTCTTTAAATGAATAAAAAACATGAGCAAGTAATCAGAAAAATTAATGCCAGGGACATGAACAAGCAAGTCACAAAAGAAATGAAAATGCTATAAAAATCTATGCAAAAATATTGAAACTCGTAGGGTTGTGTAAGGATAGAGTTCATATACTTTGCACAGTGTTTGGCATACAATAAATGAAGCTACTAAAACATAACTGATAACTAAAGAAATACAAATTTAAATAACAAAAAATATGTATATGTGTATGTAGGTTATATGTGTGTGTGTGTGTATATGTGTATATATGTATACATGTGTACGTGTAAATATCCTTTGAGTGAATGATTTCAAAGATACCTGTATATGGATATTCATTGCAACAAAATAACACAGAAAAACTGGAAACAGTCCAAAAGTCTACCACTGGGGGTTAAACAAACATAACTAAACATTATTATACAAAAATGTGGCAGATGTATGTATACTGATGACAACTGTCTAAGAAAAATAATAATGAATTGTAAAATTTTTTAAATGGAAGGGATTAAACTAGGTTAGGACTATAACTGCATGCAAAACTATGTGTTTATGTATGTAGTGACCCAAAAAGGGTCACTAAAGAATCACTAAAAAGCCTCCCCAGCTCTGAGTATCTGAGAAATGTAGTTAGGTTATACTCAAAGAAGGAAGCCTTTGGGAAGGAAAGAAATGCTGTCAAACTTTTAAGGACATAATAAATACCGCAACTAAAAAACACAATTTTTATTTCAAAATGCCAAAGTTATTCTTCAGATGAGCTTATATTCATTAGTTAATTACAAACCTCAACCAAAAATTAAAGAGCAAAAACAATCTTCAAAATGTGTGACCAGTTCAGGCTTAAATTACAGGTAAAGCAAAATCCTACAGAAGCAAAAGGAGGCAAAATTAAGTAGTAGTCCCATTTGACATAATCAAGTAGCTATAATATTATGGACTGTAGTTAGTACTCATAAATGTAAAGGTTCAGGAGTTATGCAGTGTTAACTAAATTTTTTCTTTAAGAAAAGTGGATTAAAATAAGAAAAATAAGTTAGGTCTTACAGTTTTGCGGGCTTTCTTTGAGCCAAAACAAAATAAACCTTTTTCTGGAGGCAGATTGGGGGTAGGGAGGAGTCCAATACTTTTGGAACTAATATACAGTAAATTAATATTTTAAACAATACAGCCACTAGAATCAATGGGACTTAATGAAGACTGGAATAAATGAGTAAATAATAGCAGGGGTACTCTCTATCCTAAAACAAAAATATACCTTAGAACTGCGGTTCTCAACCAGAAGTAATTTTGCCCCCTAAGAGACATTTGGCAACATCTAAAGACATTTTTGACTGTCAGGCCTGAGATGGTGCTGCTGTATACTGTGGGTACAGGCCACGGAGGTGACAAAACATCTTACAGACCCACCTACCCACCCAAAATGTCAACAGTGCTGAAGGTGAAAAACCCTACCTTAGAAACAGGCTGGGGGTGGCGGGGAGAAACCATTGAATCTATGCTTTGAAATAATCAACTTTATCGTAGAAATCCTAAATCAACAAGGTTTGTTTACCTGTTTAGAAATATTGACATCTTATCAAATAGCATGGAATCTATTAAAATGACACAATTTTCAAAGTGTTACTCAAAAGAAAGTTAACTGGATTTCCAATTTATCTAAACATTTGAAATTCTGCAAAAGCCACAGGCAAAAAAAAGAGAATTAATGCTAAAAGAAAAAAGTTTTTATACACACACACACATTCTCTGATTCTCATAACCAATACTGAGCAAAAGAAGAATACATTTTGCGTGATTCCATTTATATACAGTTCAAGAACAGGCAAAAGCTTTTCTCTTATGTTAGAAATCAGAATAGTGGTTCCTCTGGAGACAAAGAAAAAGTAGAGATGGGAGAGAACATGAGGGGGACTTCTGGGATGGTAATAATTTTGTACTTCTTAATCTGGGTAGTACTTCCATAACTTTCTTTGCTTTGTGACAATTCATCAAGCTGTGTACTAATAATTGGTACACTTCACTGTGTACAGATAACCCTTTAATAAAAATGTTTACTTTTTTAAATGGTATATATTTATATCCTAAAAACTTGAGCATTTTGACCCAGAAAGCGAAATTAATGTCAAGAGCAAAAGTAAAGTGCTTTTGTTATACAGGCTGCCTTCCAAGAATTCAAGAAGGATGATACCCCCAGAAAGCTGTAAATACCATACTCAGCGATCACAGAGCATTCAGCCGTACACTTAAGCCACTATATATCCCTTGGCACAAATCCAAAACTTGGACAAACGCTTACAAATGCAGTTGGATTTATTCCACGGACAGTTTGTTTGGATTATTTCCCCCAATGTTAAACTGGGAACTGTTATCAGAGAACAGGCTCTATGAAACAAATGATGCTTTCTCTTTCCTAATCCCACACTTTCCCAAAGCTCTCCCAAACTAAACCCCTTTTGGCTCTTGACTCCTTTAGGATTTCTCCAGGATGCCTGTAACAGTGTCCATCATTGCCTCTCCCAGTATCCACTCTCACAGTCCACCTCCCGCCACACACATGAAAATTCACATTAATGCTCACTCCAGAGGCTAGTCTCTCCCACCAGACTTTCACTCTCCCCCCAGCACCTTGCAAATACAATCCAAACTTCAGTACCCTCAAACTCATACCCTCCACAAACTCTCTTCCCAACAGCGCCCCAAAACCAGGGCCCATGCTACCCCAGTCTTTTATATCCTCTTCTACCGCACAGAAAGCCCTTGCTTCTGCAAACAACTCAGCTCCATGGCCACCACTGTAGCTCTGATCTCCAGCTCTCCTTCCCTTTAGGGGTCCCCACATCCCCACACTTTCCTGTATTCAAATCCATCCCATTGCCCATCCCCCCTCTGCCCCCAGCCTCTGCTTTCTTCCATCTGACTCTTTCCTAAGTACTAAGACAGGGATGGGAAGTTGGAGGAAGGGTAGGAAAGAACTCTGTCCTGTGTGGAGATGGTGGAGAAAAGACTGTTCAAGTCTGCAGCACAACAACCACGTGCTGGGGCTACAGTCAGAGGCTGGATTCTGAAAGCCCGCCCCACCACTCACTAATGGCAAGGCTTTGGCCAAGCGATTTTACAAACGTAAGCCTCAGTCTCTTGAACTACAAAATGGAGCTAATAAAAACAGCTACCTCCCAGAGTTGTGAGGTTAAATCAACTACCAGCCAGCTGAGCACTTGGCACAAACCCAACACGGTGAATTCTCAACGACTGACCGTTTCTCTTAGGTCCTCTTCGTGGATGCGGGAAGATGAAAGGTACTTTCTTTCCGTCTCTTTAATGCTAAAGCTCCTGCAAAGTCTCCTCTTGGGGGAGAGCAAGAAGGCAAGGGAGAGAAGGAAAGAAGAAGTACTCTACAGATAGGTGGGTGATACAAAGAATTTTGTCAGGTCCCCAAACTCGGTGTTCTCTCTTTATTATCCGCTTACAATGTGGACGGATCCAAGTTGGATCCAAGAAGCCCTTTATGCCTTGCTAAAGGATGGGGGGAAGACATGAATATATACAGCAAATGTGCCTCCACGGATACTCATTTGACGGAATGCAGTAGACCCCCCCCCTCAAATTGCTAAAATCCGTTCCTTGGGGGTCGGACAATTAGGAAGGAAACCCAAAGTCCCAAAGGATTTTGCTTGAGAGTTTAAGGGAGTACTTCATAATAAGGAGAGATTAAAAGTAAATGCTGGAAACCCTAAAGACTTCTCACTTCGCCTGCAGCACAGAGTATCAATTGGTTTGTCAGCAACTCAGTGAGTTGAGAAAGGAAAAGCGCTTTCCGCCGTCTCTCCTGGGACACCGGGGCTTCCCCGGGTCCCTTCCCAAGAGGGATAAAGGGGAGGGTCTGCGCCAGGGAATCCCCAGCTCCCTACGGAGTGGGACAGGAGGGCCCCCAGGGAGTTTCACTGGGTCCCTTCCCGCCTCTTCCCAGCCCATCTCCTGTAACGGGATGTCTCCTGGGACTCGAGGATCCCCCAGAGGTTCGGCCATCCCTGGATTCCTCCCCTCCCAAGACCTCTGGACAGCCCTCCTCGGTCCTCAGAGTTCTTCCCGGTCACTTCTCAGGGTCTCCCGGCCGGTACAGGGTCAGCCCGCCGCCCACGGGGTCCCCTCATGGGCCTCCTCCCGGCCCCTCCCGAGCGCCGCGAGCCCGCGGGGTTACCTGCTGAGACGGCAGCTCCACATGCAGGGCCCGCGCGGCAGAACCGGGAGGCAGCGCGGCGGCCGGGCCCGGGGGCGGCGGGGGGACCGGTCCCCCGACCGACGCTGAAGCGCTCATCTTGACCCGGGAGCCGCCAAGCGGCGGGGCCGGCGCTCCTCCGGCATCCGCCACCACAGCCTAGTCACGACCCGCTGAGCCCCTGCAGCCCAGAAACCAGCCACCCGGGAGGCAGAACCGCTCTACCCCACCGCCGGCCACCGCCGCTGGCTAAGGAAGAGCCATATTACCGCAGTGCAACCCCCACCACCCGCTGAGAGCTGGCTTGCCCATTGGTTCAGCTCCCACGGGGGCGGGACCCAATCACAGAAAACGGACGCGCTATTGGTCAGAAGGTCTGTCTATCGCCGGCAGGAACAGGCTGGGGGCGGAGGAACCCAGGGATGGCCTAAATTGCGTCTGTCAAGGGGAGGTAAAACCTGGGGCGTTGCTTCATTTTTTCCCAGTCTAATTGGTTCTTCCACTACCACGGGGCGGGGTCTCCTGGGGGAGCCGCAAGGACCATTGCTCGAGGTCGCTGTCAGTTGTCAGTAAAGGAAAAGAGGGGCGGAGTCTGATTAGGTAGACCTTGCGCCTGGGCTCTGGTGTCACGTGCAGAAGGCAGGAGAGTCACCTGATTAGTGAGAGTCAGTTTTGGGAGCCACTTCCGCCCTGACCTAGTTGCCATGGTAACCGGCCTCCCTTGGAGGGCGGGGATGCATTTGGCGCCAGCTGGGTGGTGGTGGCCGGTCTGTAGTTGCAGTTTCCCCGAGTAATCTTTTCCTGAGGGACTCTTGTCCACGTGTGAGGATTGAAAAGGAATACTTTATGGTTAGCCAGAAAACCACCACGCAGGATGCACCAAGACCAGAAACTTGTCGGGCAGTCCTGCCAGCTCCACCCACGACCAGTTCCAACCCACAAGTCCCCGCCCCTCCTAACACTCCACTAACTGGTAGGCTGAGCCAGGCACCTCGGGACACTGTTTCACTTCTGTGAGTGGGGTGTTTATGCTGTTCTTGAAAAGCCTTTGCTACTTTTCTCCTCCTGACTAACGTTTACTTACCCATCAAATCTCACCTGGGGTTGGGATCCCAAAAGGCTTCTCAGATACACTCTGGGACCCTGAGTTAGGAAACTTGCCTCTACTACATTCCTGATTATTCTATTGCATTCTACTGTCTTTTAATAAGTTTGTAACACACATGTGCAGCCACACATACCCCTCCTGCAAACACACAAACTTAACACACTGAATTTCTCAAGCAAAAGAACCTTGTCTGATTCATCTCTGGATTCCCGGTGCCTCGCAGAGAATCAGGACATGTGTTTTTGAAGTGAAGGCACAGTTCCAATGCCACTTCTTCCATGAAGACCTCCTTGATCATAGTGATAGCATTTATAGCAATTGCTTCTGTAATAAATATCATTGAGTCGTTCTGAAGAATAATGATCTGCCTTTTTCCCCCTTAGACTGAATTTCTCCACCACCTGGACTGACCTAGCAGAAAGAACACAGTGTTTTAGAGTCAGACACAACAGGAATCAGGAACTTTTGGAATCTTGGCTCTGCCACCTTCTAGTTATATGTTCCTAGGCAAGCCAGTTTCCCTCTCTCAGCTTTAGTTTTCCCATCTGTAAAATAGTAACAAGGTTGCTGTGGGGATTAAGTAAATTAATGTTAAGTATAGTGCCCAGTGCAGGACCTGGTATATAATAATTGCACTAAAAATATTTTAATAAAAGGTAAGCATACTATCTTTCTAGGGTATTCAGAAAGCCTGAAGACACTTTGGATCTGATCCCAGAGCTGGCTAAGATGTATGTCACACCGTCTCCTATTCTGAAACGTTGAGTAGTTCCACATGGCTAGAGCCTAGGGTATGCAGTCAGGTGTTTGCTGAGAAGGGAGTAATTGAGAAATCCCAAACACCTGGTTCCAAGATCTGGTGGAATTTCACAGAAAACATTTGTCTGTTTCCAAGCTGTATTAGTTTCCTGAGGCTGCTGTATCAAATTACTACAAACTGGCTAGCTTAAAACAACTAAAAGTTGTTCTTTCACAGCTCTAGAGGCCAGAAGCCCCAAATCAAGGGGCTTAGTGCTAGGTCTGAAGAAGTCCAGGGACTGTGGGAGCCAGAGAAGACAGTCACATTTCACAGTGGAGGTGACATTTAACCCGGGTATTGAGAGACCAATAAGAGTTCACCAGGCAGGGAGGGAAGAAAGGATGTTCCAGCACAGAGAGCAGGAGCGATTTTCCACAAGCCTTTACTGAGGTTCAACTCTGCATCAGGCAGATTACTAGACACCAGATATACAGAACTGAGGTAAATAACACTTCTCAGACTTTTCCACCTACATGCCACAAACCCTAGGAGAGCTGGCACTCACCCCTAGGGGTATGGCAGAAAACTGAAATAGTCTCCTAAGTGTTCAATAAATGCTACCTATCATTTTTTTTTCTTTTTCATTTTTGGTTTTTTGTTTGTTTGTTTGTTCCTTTGGCTGTGTTGGGTCTTTGTTGCTGTGCACGGGCTTTCTCTACTTGCAGCGAGTGGGGGCTACTCTTCATTGTGGTGCGTGGGATTCTCATCGTCATGGCTTCTCTTGTTGCAGAGCATGGGCTCTAGAGCGCAGGCTCAGCAGTTGTGGGTCACAGGCTTGGTTGCTCCACGGCATGTGGGATCTTCCCAGGCCAGGGCTCGAACCCGTGTCCCCTGCATTGGTAGGCGGATTCTTAACCACTGGCCACTAGGGAAGTCCCTGTGCCAGGCATTGTTGTAAGCAGTTCATGTGTACACTCACCACAGTGCTGGAGATTAGAGACCTAAAGCAAGATTTCTGTCACCTGCCCTAGGTCACATGTTTTGAGTTTTAAGCTGGGGTTTGAAAGTAGTCTAACTCCAATGTTGTTAATCCTACCTACATTTTACTGCCTCTAATAAAAGAGTATTATAGCGTATATTTTAAATTTTATTTTTACAGTGAAGTCATGTTTTTCTCAGAATATATTTCTATATCATATACAGAAAATTTTAAAACTACATCATTTGTGTTTAATCAGAGGAAAAAATACTTTGTATTGGTTTTCATCAAAAGTAATTAGAAATCTCAAAAATCATTTGGTATTTTAGAAATGAGAAAAGGTGCTTTTTAAATGTGCGTAAGGGCATTGTAATGTTATGTAAAAAGTGTAGGAGATACAATTGTGTGTATGCATGATAAAATATGAGCTGAAAATACACAAACCAAAACTCCCTAAGCAATAAGTGGTGAAAAATAGCTTGAAAAAGAGGTTACAAGGAAGAAAAACAGGATTACGCAAAAGAAGTTTAGAATATATATGGGGCAGAAGTTTGTCATAAAAATTGTGGTTGAAGCCAAGGGGTGGGGGAAATTCCTATTTTTCTCCTCCTAGTGATCCCATTATAACCCATTAAGTGAGAATTTCTCCCACCTTCTCAGAAGTATTAGAAAAAAGCGTCAGATTTGCAGCCTACCCCAAGTAAAGTGAAATGTTTCACGGATAAGAAGACCAGACTCTGCCATCCACTGGCACAACCCCTCTAAAAGATTGAAGGTCACTGTTTGTATTAGTTTAAGCCATAAACTGGCTGGCTTAAAACAGCAGAAATTTATTCTCTCATAGGTGTGGAGGCTGGAAGTCCAAAATCAAGGTGGTGTTAGGGCTACAATCCCTCAAAGCCTCTTAAGGAGAATCCTTCTTTGCCTCTTCCAGCTTGTGGTGGCTCCAGTTGTTTCTTGGCTTGTGGCTACATAACTCCAGTCCCTGCTTCCTTAACATGGCCTCTCCCCTTTCCCTGTGTCTCTCCTTTCTTTTACTTTTAAGGACACTTGTCATAGGATTCAGGGCCCTCCCAGATAATCCAGGGTTATTTCATCTTGAGATCCTTAATTATATCTGTAAAGCCTTTTTCCAAATAAAGTCACATTCACAAGTTCCAGGGATTAGGACATGTCCATATTATTTTGTGGGTCAGCATTTAACCCATCACACCATTCCTATGTGTGGCCTTCCCCTCTTTTCTCTCAGGCCAGCCTGCCTAAAAGATGGAGAAATTAAGTTGGTATTAATCTAAACTAGATAGTTTTAAATTAAGATGTTAGTTGTAATCTTCATTTTCTTCCATGAAGAAAATAACTCAAAAATATACAGTAAAAGAGACAACAAGAGAATTAAAATAATATATTAGAAAATACATGTTTAACACAAAAGAAGGCAGGAATGGAAGGTGAGAAAGAATAACAAGATGGCAGATGTAAATCCTACCTTAGTAATTGCATTAAATGTAATTAACACTCCAATCAGAAGGCAGAAAGTAGAAGTACTGTATGTATTTTTAAGAAGTCCAACACTATTGTGTCTACAAAAACACACTTCTTATTTAAAGACACAAATAGGTTGAAAGGGAAAGGATAGAAGATATTCCATGCAAATGGTAACCAAGAGAGAACTGGGGTGCCTATATTATACTAATACAGGCTACACAAAACTGATTTTAAGATAAGAATTGTTACTAGAGATAAAGATATTTTATAATGATAAAAGGGTGACTTCATTAGGAAGATAAAAAATTATAAACATATGCACATAAGAGCAGAGTCCCAAAATATATGAAGCAAAACTTGCAGAATTGAAGGGAAAAATAAACAGTTCAACAACAATACTTGGTTACTTCAATACCCCACTTTCAGTAATGGATAAAACGACTAGGCAGAAGATCAACAAGGAAAAGGAGACTTGAACAACACAATAAACCAACTTGACCTAATAGATATCTAATCTATAAAACATTCCAACCAACAAAGGCGGAATACATGCTTTTCTCAAATGCACATGGAATGTTCTCTAAGATAGATCATATGTTTGGTCATTAAAAAGGTCCCAATAAATTAAAAGGGGTTGAAATCATACAAAGTATGTTCTAAGAACATAATGAAATCAAATCAGAAATAAATGACAAAAGAAATTTGGAAAAATATTAGATACATGGAAATTAACCAACATACTCTTAATAACCATGGGTCAACAAAGAAATCAGAAGATAAATTATAAAAAACTTTGAGATGAATGAAACAAAAACACAACACACCAAAACTGTGGGATGCAGCTAAAGCAGTTCTTAGAGGGAAACTTATAACTCACCCATATTAAACAAGAAAAAAAATCTCAAATTAATAAACTAAACTTCCACCTTAAGACACTGGAAAAAGAAAAGCAAACTAACTCAGAGGAAATACTAGAGGAAAATACGCTAAATACG